CAGGGCTCCAGGATAACACCCTAGGCCAAAGGCAGGCACTAAACCGCTGAGCCATCAACTATGGGATCCCCCATAGTTGAACTTTTTAACTAGTCTCTGTCTCTGAAAAGTAACCTGGTTAGGGTGTCAGGCCACCAGCCCATATTTCCTGAAAAAGAATACATACACCCATGTGTTCTAGTACCAGAAGCTGCTACAGTTTGCAGATTAAAGACATATGAATCATTCTTATGATTTAATTACATTTCAATTTAGCAAAGATTTATTGAGGGTTTACCATGCACTAAACTCTATGTCATTTGCAGGGGATACTAATGTAAAATTCTTCTAAGTGGTTTGATTACATTTGTCTATAAGTCTCTTGATGGATGGCTCAGTAGCGTTGCCCCTAATAATAATTGTAGCAATGGGAGAGTTTCAGAGGTCCTCTGATCCAAACTTTCAGTCCATTAAAAATAAATCAACAAATATGTCAGAGATTATATTTTTCAGGACTTCATCTACTAAGGGAGGCAATATTTTTAAAAGAAATAACATTAAATAAAATTAAAAGCATCTATTCATTGGGTATGTGAATAGCTCATCTGTCTGCCTCTGTAGATGGATTCATCTACCTCTGTGATGTAATAAGGGAAGAGAAGGATCAGTGTGGAGCTCCAAAGCAGTTTTCAACTCCACTAGGGATGATCCAAGAGAGGAGAGGACATTTGAACTTTCTTCCTGTCATTTATTTATGCCACCACTACCTATTATCCGCTGTATGCTAAGCACTAGGGATAGAAAATACTAGGACATAGCGCCTGTTCTCAAACAGGTTAGCAGTCGATTTTCATGACTTGTGGCTTCCATATTTGCAAGCAAATTCTCACTGTACTTCTATAGCCATCTGCAGACTACCATAGCATCGGGGTGGGATTTGAGTTGCTTGACATATGGTCCCAGCCAAGGTCAAACAAGACAAAGCTCTGCCTTCTTGTTTCAGCTGCCATACTGTAAATTCCTTGTCGCAATCTATTTAATGCCACATTTTTCATATGTTTGTGCTTTTTATTGGTGATTTCACTATTTTAAATGGCCCCCAAGTATAGTGCTGAAATGCTCACTAATGTTCACAAGAAGGCTATGATGTACTTGAAATTACGACTCTTCAGTAAGTTTCCTTCAGGCATGAGTTCAGTATTAATGAACCAATGATTCGATACTTTCAGAAAAAGAAAGAGGAAAATCACTGATCTGTATGTGATTCTGCTCCGAAAAGTGCTAAAGTAATGACTACAATGCCTGATGAAGCTATGGAAAAGTAGTTGAACTTATGAATTCATGAAGTGACAACTGATGTGAAAAAAACCCGAAAAACATAATGGACAGCACTGTGAGGCTTAAAAGCCAAAGAATTTATAGTAACATTACCCAGGGTCAGAAAGCTATTAAACCTTTCTCAGCTGGTATTTCATTAGACAGAAATATTGCATGTAATTAATTATTTTTAAGAAATATACATTAAATTAGATGTCTTCCAACAGAAATGGACATTAAACAAGTTTATATATCGATCTACTGCAGAAAATGTTGGACCAGAGGCGCACAGGACCCTAAGCCAGTATCTCCCCTAGGAGCAATGGCTCAGTATTTGCTAATATGAAGTTTGCAGCAACTTTATAGAACATAACTACTGCAAATAAGAAGACCTGGCTGTATATATAGTATGGGGAAGAGACAGGTAATCGATTGCTCTGCAAAGGGATCAATAATAAGACAGCCTCCTGAGAAGCATTCCAGGGAGTGCCACAGATGTGATGAAGCAACTAAATTCTACATTTAAATACATTTTTTTTTCTGGAAAAACTTTTGAAAGAAAATTTTATATTTTTGCTTTTTAAATTATTTGTGTATAAACAACACCTTATGATTAGCTATGATTTCTTCACAACCATCAGACATTCTCAAGAAATCTTGCAAGGGAGAAAATCCAGCCCACAAATCATTTTCAAATGTATTAAACTTTTAAGAGTTTAAAATTTTGCAATTAATGAAGTATGTATTGTGTTATGTTTGGTAGACAATTATATACTTGTCAATACTGATTTTGCAATTTTTCATCTTATAGCCAATAATATTTTGTTTGTTTTGGCTCGATTCATATTTTATTTTTCAGGTCTTGAGAAAGTTCATTTTCCTTGGTCACCAAGGGAAGATCAAGACTTTGGGAACTCTGAAGCTTATGCAGTTCATGGCCCTTTTAAGAAAAAGAGTACAAAATTAGGCCCCTTGGAAGAGGTATTATTAGCTCCCACATTAATTTGCCTCTGATCAGCATGACAGCCTATTGAATAAAAGGTCCTCTGCAGAGGCTGCTCTGGGTACAGGAAGACCAGGTAGGAAGCTATAGCAATAGTTCAAGATAGTAAAGCTCAAAGTCCATACTTGAGGATAGAAAGGATGGGAGAGAGACAAGAGATATTTAAGAGGTTGGTCTGACAGGCATTTGGCAAAGAGGGTATGTCAGAAGGTGTCCAGAATGCATTTTGCTGGGCTGAGTCAGAAGAGGGAATACAGAGGGGGATATGGGTGGTGGTATAGAGCAGATTTTTAAGGTGCTGTGGTGTGCAAGGTGCTGTGGGTAGAGAAGCAGAGTCAAGTGTGGAGACTGTCTGCTGGGCAGGGGGCAGGTGGCAGGGAGCAGGAGCTCGAGGGTGAGCAGTTTGGGTTTCACAGATGAGGAGATTGATGAGCAAGAACACAAAGCTAAGAAACCAGGAAATAGTGAGACACGAAGACAGCACCATATGAACGTTATGGGTTGGAATTAAATTATGGATGGGCTTTTGAAAGCCAAAATAGGAAGTTTTACAATGGGAGCCTCTGATGATTTTTGAGCAGAGGTATTTTCCACGCAGAGCTGAACATGAGGAAGAGGGTTTATTTTTTAGCAGATATGCATACAGTTGGCTTTGCAGAGACCAAATAGAGACTTTCATCATAGAAACAGCAAGAAGCAGAGTGCATGAGCTCGGAGGGTCCCTGCAGACATTTGAAGGAGGGAGAAAGGCAAATCCTGCATGGAGGAGCCTCCAGGACTTTAGAGACAGGACTCACAGGCCCTGTGATGAGCAAGTAAAGGTGGAGCCCAGGGTTTGAGCCTTGATGGCGAGGGGGCAAGTTCAGCATTCACTGCAGCAGATCTGTAAAAAGCATAAACCCAGAAGCCCTTGAGCCTAGAGGGAAAGGAAAGCACAACCTGCACAGGGGCTGGGTGACCGCAGCTCAGGTGGGCCAGGCTTCACACCGCACACGGGTTGAGAGTCACCCACGTTCGCCCATTCTTGCAGTTTGCTTCGTCATTGTTGTTGTTTGTTTTCATTTAATCCTTTTCATCTGGTGGCATTTCAGCTGGCTGGGTTTGGCGCCAACACCCATCTCCCTGAGCTTCCTTGAAATTTGCCTTGTGTTCCCCGAAGGGAGCCGGTCCTCCCGGTTTCCTCTCACAGAGATAAGCCTGCCTTCGGGGCACTTGGCTTGGGTTTCGGCTAAGGACCAGCCCGTGTCACTGGAGGACAGAGGGTCACACTTCCAGCCTCCAGGAGTTCTTCCCAGAGATCACCTTGAGATAGTGAGAAAAGTTGGAAAACAGGGATAGAGCAGGGAAGGGAAGTGGGGTGAGGCAGAGGACGACTCCTGTCTGTCCTAGAGAAGCTACATCCCCCAAAGAGTGTGCTAAGAATCCACTGTAAGTCACCTTGGATTCCCACCTCAACTGCCTAAAGCTGTTTCTCCCAAGACCTATTCCTGGTGTGTTTGTGGAAAGGCTACTTTTAAAAGTCTTTTCCCTAAAAAAAAAAAAAAAAAAAAAAGTGGGGGGCATCTGAGTTATTCAGTCAATTAAGCAGCCAAATCTCAATCTCAACTCAGGTCTTGAGTTCAAGCTCCACATTGGGCTCCACACAGGGTGTGGGTCTACTTTAAAAAAAGGGGGGGGGCTCTACCTCCCCTTGAAGGCTTAATAACCTGTAGGTATGACTTGCTACATAATTTGCAAAGCCCTATTTTCAAAAATTAAGGATTTCAAGAAGGCAGCATCAGAGCACGGAACCAAGTGCAGGCTCTTCTGGAGTGCCTGGTCCCATGTGACCCTAGAGGTCACACTCTCTTGAAACCTGGCCAATGGCTAAGTGTCAGTGCTTTGTGAGATGTGTTTTTACTGTGCATCCTCACTTAATCATGGGTGTGGGAGTGCACACCCACCCAACAGAGAGCCCCCCTCCTGCCCAGCCCCCTTTCCACCTAGTCATAAAACATTCACAACCCCCTGCTCAGCTGCTGCTGCCCAGCTTACCTGCAGAGGCTCCTCTCTAGAGAAAGATTTTCATTCTGTTTCTCTACTTAATTTACTCCATCTCCTCTCCAGCTGACCTTTTGGTTAATAGAAGTTAACCTTTTGGATAAGATTTGAATATTCTCACCCAGTTACAGGAACCATAAAATGAAAAAAATGAAGGGATGTCTTCTCCTGGATGCCACAGTTAAGATGCAATTCCAGTGTAGGGGTAACACAGGGAGTGGCTATTAGCTGGGGTTTTCTCCCTGGAGAGGAGGGTCTGGGGCAGCGTAGGGACATCCTGACATTTGCAAAATCCTACTTGACAATCGTCTTGTTTTTTTAGCAGTATGAATGTTGCAATCTTTGCTTTTACCTAGATAAGGAAACTGAACCCAGAGAAGTTAAGTGACTTCCCAAGGTCACACAGCAAGGAAGCAGCACAATCAAAACTAGAACCCTGAGTCCTAGATCAGACCACTTTTCTCTACACACACTGAGGAGGACCCCAGTCCATCTCACTGTTACTTCTGTTTACAGTGGGGAATTTTATAATATACAGCTTAAAGGCTTTGAAGCTTATAGCTTCCATTCTATTTATATATAAAAGAATCAACTTGATTTCTGCTTTCCTCTAAAGATAATAAATTTCCAGTAATTTTTAATTCTCATTCTCACTCTTCAGAGACAACCCTGCTGCCCAATTTAATCTCAGGACTCACATGAATTCCCGGGATCTGAAGACTGCCATAGAGAAAATCACCCAGAGAGGAGGGCTTTCTAATGCAGGTATGCAATCTGAATTCAGATCATTCTATTTTGTTTCCACAGTTCTCCTCTGTGTGATTGTCTTCTAATAACCTATATAGGAGGAGGAAAAAATAGTGATAAGCCATCAAGATATGACTCAAATAATATCTGTATCTTTTCCAAAGTATCATCATAGATTCAGGGGCAAGAATCATTATCACACGTATTCTGGAGAGCTCCAGAATGCCTAGTTCCTTGAGTCAGCAGCTTTCTTCCGGACAAGCACGACTACTATTATAACTGTTTCCTGATTGGCTGACAAGTTATCAACTGTGTAACATTAAATGTTATAACCAATTCCATTCAGAAAGCTCCGCAGCACCCCTTGGGGATCTTCTTCCAGTGAGCTCCTGTTACAGTGATGACTGTACAAAGAGAGACAGGTTCTTTGTTTCAAGCAGAGTCTCCTGAGATGTCTGACTGAGCCTTGGTGGCTGGGAGGTGGGGTGGCAGGTTTACCAGAAGTCTAAGTCTGGCCCAAATTCAGTTTGGTTAGTGAAAAATGCTAACCAAACTTGGCCGAGTCACTGCTATCCCAGATTCCAAATCAATATTACATCATTGCAAATATGGTGGAGTTGATTTCTGATTTGTTTTCAATTGAATACTTAGATCGGTGACATTCCAGTAATGTATCATGGAATAAAACTTTGAAACTTCAGAAGACACCCCAGATCCTTGATGGGATTAGAGTGGTATCTTAATAAAATTACACACCTTTTTCAGGAGATAACATGTTCTGTCTCTGCCCTGTACTGATCAGGCTTTGGCTCAGAGAACAGGATCCATTTTAGCTGGTTTAAGTGGAAAGGGATTTATTCCTAGGTACTAAACTGTTTTGAGGATAACCTAAAGGGCTGAAGAAATTAGCTCAAGGCTGAACTTTGAGAGATGACTTCTGACGGCCTCCTGCAGAACACAGACCTCCAAGGAGCTACTGTTTCTTCCAAGATCAGGAAATTGCATTCTCAATTCTGCCAGCAGAGCCTCCTGGGAGATCTGATTAGCCAGGAAGCCACTACACTCAAGAAACTTCTTCTACAGCAGTCAACCCCAAAACCAGGCCTTACATGCTCCATTCACACCCATAAAACACATGTTCTGCATGCTCCGACTTCATTAGCAACAAAACTAGAGACCAGGCATAGACTCTTCTAGCACCACCCAGAGAAGTCAAGTACCTACAGGTGCTCATCAGTAGAAATAGGAGAGTCAAAAATATGGTTTCTTCCTTATTTCCATCTTCTAAATCTCATATGTGTGCATTGATTCATGAAATTAGCACAAATCCAGGGCTATAGCTGCAAGGGAGTCTCAACAATGTAGTTTTCAGATTTTTAGCCTCAGCTTTCAAAACTTGCTGGAAGGTGGATGGGGTGTGGGTTAAGCACTAATGGACCATGGCCTCCAAATTTGAGATTGGATGAAGCCAGAGGTGTGCTCTGTTTACAAGCATCTAACATTTAGCCAGAGGGGACTGCTGGGTGCTTTGGGCCTTCCAGGACATTATTCCTTGGCCATGAAGACAGTTCTCAGCAATGAAGGTTCCCTCTTAGCTGTTGTGCTCTATGCAGCCAGATCATACAGGCCTCCACAACATTTCTCCAGTTCCTACATATGTAACTATTTGAACTCTTCATTTAATGGGTAAGATTACAGTAGCCAGTGGAGCCAGGATCCTGGCCAAAACCAAAAAGCATGGAGTATAATGACATTAATCCTAAAGACTTAAGATGGTTGTTCTTAACTTTTATTTAGATTGAGAACCTCTTTGAGAATCTCCTGAAAGCTATCCTCCTACCCAACTAAATACTTAGAGACACAAACTATGGTGTATCATGTCAGGGGATTTGTGGAGACACACCCCCAATGTCCCACAAGGGTCCAGAGAGCCTGGGTAAAGAGCCCAGCCTTATTATATACAGTTATGCTAACTCTACAGTGATATTCTACATTCCAATTTATGACTCTACATTGTGTAGAGTCATTCTACAGTGACTCTACATTCCAATTTGTCCAGGAGCATATGGGGCTTCCAGCACTTAACCTGGGAGAGTCCCAGTAAACTGGGACAACTTGACTGAAAAATTTCTGAGGTCCTGGACAATGTGAAACAAGTGCTTTGGGAAGCCACAGTGGCGGCTCTGTTATACAACCCCAGCTGTGGCTTTCAGGTTAAATAGAAATCTGGAGACCCACCAGGGTCCCCATGGCCAAGGCTAGAATACAGTCCTCAGTTCTCAGTGGTACAGTACTTCCTGGGCCAGCCAGACCCATGCCCCTCACCTGGAACTGGACAGAAGACATCATGGTACCTGGAACACAGCCTTCCACCCCCAGCAGCTCGTGGTGCACTAGGTTGGCCAACCCCCAGCTAGAGGCAGGAAAGAGGCTCCTGCCCCACCAGGCCAACCCCTCCCAGACAGAACTTTGTGCGCTTCCAGCACCCACACAAAGAAGAGACCCTCTTACTCCCATGGAAGTCTTTCTCATGTTTGCTGGTCCCTAAATTTTTTTTTTTTTAATAACAGAGATCTAGAAGTGAAAGACTTAAAGTGAAATGAGAGAGGGAAGCGGGTGGTGGTGATGGTTGTACAACATTGTGAATTTGCTTAAAACCCCTGAACTATACACCTCAGAATAGTTATTGTGGTTAAAAAGAGGCAAAAACAAACACATGAAGTGAGGGCAGGAGTGGGTTTTTCTGGCCCTCTGGAAGCCACTGGGATCTTGCCTGTATTTCCAATCTGTGTGATCACTGTCACTCCAACCACAAGTTCTCTGTTTCTTCCAGGCCGGGCCATCTCCTATGTGACCAAGAACTTCTTTTCCAAGGCTAATGGGAACAGAGGCGGGGCTCCCAATGTGGCAGTGGTGATTGTGGACGGCTGGCCCACAGACAAGGTGGAGGAGGCTTCGAGGTTCGCAAGAGAGTCAGGAATCAACATTTTCTTCATCACCATCGAAGGTGCCACTGAGAATGAGAAGCAGTATGTGACAGAGCCCAACTTCTCGAATAAGGTATGGAACTGCCCCCAGGGACCCACCTGAAGTCCACATCCACTGTCTTTTGCACCCTGTAAACAGCCATCAGGACTGTTCTCATTCCTTCAAACAAGCGTGGAGCTCACTTCTAGGCAGGGAAGCCTCCAGTGAAGGGCTAGTAAATCTGGAACCTGGAATTACTTTCTCAGGGCAAGACCCCACACTGACCCTGTGGACTGAGCAATAGTACCTTGGGAGGAGGGGTGTCCCCGAGGTCTCAGATAGAGGCTCCCCAGGCTCCCCCCACAGTCCCAGGGGACCTCCACCAGGCGGCCCAGGAGGGCTTCACATGAGCATGCACATGGGCACACATATACTTGCTTACCCACACGTGCATGCATGTGTGCACGCGCACACACACACACACACACACACACACACACACTACCAATTAAACAACCTGATAAACAAGAAAAGGAAGACATTGGATCAGGTCAGGGAGATCAGGTTTTCAACCCCTGCTCCTGGGTTCTGTGGAGAGCTAGCAGCAGATAGAGGCAAGACAGATAGGGATCCAGGCCTCTGAACCCACTCCACCAGAGCAGCTCACCTTTTTGTACATTTTACACAGTGGGACTCCACACAAACCTGCCTCCAAAGAGAAGGCCCCAGCTTGAAAAAGAAAGGAAGGGAGGAAGGAAGAGAAGAAGGGGAATGCCTTGTACTAGCTTGTCCTTGATGCCCTTCCAGTTTTAATAATCTGTGTTCCGGTAGGGCTCAACCTCCTGCACCATAGCATGCTGCTGACCACTTCGTCATCCTTGAAATTCTCATCTCCTTTGACTTCCAGGACACAGTGTGCCTCTTATTTCATTTTTTCTCTCCTCTTTCCCTACTTGTACCCTAAATGTAGACTTCCCCAGACTCATTCTTGGCCCTCTCCTCCTCTCTCACTAGACTCTATTCCCCTGGAGTCCGTCCCAGGCCGCAGCTTCCATCTTCACTCACAAGCAATAGACACCTCATCCTGTGCCCATCCCTGGGCTCTCCCGAGCTCTGTAGCCATCTGTTTCCAACCAATTGGTTTTCTCCACCTGATGTCCTGAAGAACCTTAAATCCTACATGTAAAAATCTAAGTGCATCCTCTTTCCCACCAAATCCACTCCTCCTCTGGATTGTACGAGGATGGCCCCGCGCTGTCCCAGAGGTGCAGAGTCATCCCAGGATGCCTCGTCAGCTCCCAGTGCCACCTCCCTAGGTCAAGCTAGCATTCTACCTCTGGTCTGTCTCCCTCTTGGGGCTTCTCAGTTTAGTGTAAATTTCACAGCGAAGCCCGCTCATGTTTATGATGAGCTTTTCTAGTCCCATGGGGTCCCTGCTCCAAACCCTTCATCATCCCCCATCACTCTTGAGGCCTTCTGGAGTGTGGTCCTGCTGCACCTCTGCAGCCTGCTGTCCCCTGCCCACACCCAACACCACCATCCTCTCCATCCGCGACCACAACCAGTGCCTGATGGGACTCCCTCCGCTCCATCCAGTGGCTAGAACTCAGTTCAGCCTAGATACTCATCTCAAATACCACCGAGTCCATGGAAAGGTTTATAACCCCCTTTTAGGTTTTACAAACAAATCAAACATATTTCCTAAGACATTTTAAAATCATTTCTTGTTTTAAAATAAATTATTATTTCTACCACTTTATCTCTAGTCACCAGGTCTCTGTGACTGTCCCCATGACCCCCCAGAGAGACAGCAGCAAGGAGAAAACACTCCACTTTAGGAACATAGGCCAGGTCCCTTCCAGGAGCACACAGGCTCAATGTTTATTTGCAGCTGCCTTAAGTTTTTTCTGGAACAAACTTGGGCACAAGTCAATAAACATTCATTTGTCTGGAGGCAGGCTCGTCTGGAGGCAGGGTCATCTGGAGGACGGAGCTTGGGTTTTGAAAGCAGAGAGATCTGTGTTCCAGTCTCCGGGACTCAGGATATCCCTTCACAGCTGGCCCTCAGTCTGTTCCTTCATGAAGGAGGGTTACATCCACTTCATAGGGTTAGGGTGCGGGTTTATGAAAAAATCTCTCCAAGAACTTCTAGTGTGACTCTAGTGTGACATATGTGTGGGACCCCTTGTTGCTGGGCACAGGCCTGCTCTGGAAACACTTCTTTAGCTATTTCTCATGTGTCTTGTTTTCCTGATCAAAACAAAAGCTTTCCTTAATCCGCTTGTACGGGGGTGCCCACCAGTGCCAATCTTACGGCCGGCTGCCAGTACAAATGAACCGAGGGGCCCAGAGAAGCATAATAGGAAGCCAAAACCAGTGATTCACCTCTCTCTAAGGATTGGCTTAACCAATGGCTCTGCCCTAACGCAGAGACCCAGCTGAGGGAGTAGGACTGAGTCCAGGGGGCAATTGGGGGATCATTGCCCCAGTGAGCACCCGACTGGGTGGATGGAAGTCGAAAAAGAGCTGTAGGAAGATGAGTGCAAAAATCCAAGAGTCTGTTGCTTCTTTCTGTACCTGCCCCGGTGATCAGGGTAACAGTGATAGACTGGGGCATCCGACACCCTCCCCCTGTCTTCCAGGCTGTGTGCAGGACAAACGGCTTCTACTCGCTCAACGTGCAGAGCTGGTTCAGCCTCCACAAGACCGTGCAGCCGCTGGTGAAGCGGGTCTGTGACACTGACCGCTTGGCCTGCAGCAAGACGTGCCTGAACTCCGCCGACATCGGCTTTGTCATCGACGGCTCCAGCAGCGTGGGGACGGGCAACTTCCGCACCGTTCTCCAGTTTGTGGCCAACCTCAGCAAGGAGTTTGAGATTTCAGACACAGACACGCGAATCGGGGCGGTTCAGTACACCTACGAGCAGCGGCTGGAGTTTGGATTTGACGATTACAATACCAAGTCCGACATCCTCAATGCCATCAAGAGGGTGGGATACTGGAGTGGTGGCACCAGCACGGGGGCTGCCATCAACTATGCCCTGGAGCAGCTCTTCAAGAAGTCCAAGCCCAACAAGAGGAAGTTAATGATCCTCATCACTGATGGGAGGTCCTATGATGATGTCCGAATACCAGCCATGGTCGCCCATCACAAGGGTAAGCTGGTCCCCCTGACCAGTCCAGTGCTGAGCATCTCCGGGGCATGGTGGGCCAGTGGCACAAGGAAGGGGCTGGTTTGTTAGGCACTGGTTTTGTCTACCGCTTAATGAAATGCTCAAACTCGTAGGGAACACATTGGGGTGGTGTTAAACACTACCGGCCTCTCTGAGCAGCAAAGGAAAAAGGCAGGGAGCCCCAAGGTGGTTTCCAAAGTGTCATGGCAAACCCCAGGCCTACAGATGACTAGGACCAGTAACCCTCTCTTTACATCCAACACTCTGAGGCCTTACACACGAAGGTGTGACACACTAAAAAGGAATTTGACTCATTATTTTAAGCTCCCCTGAAGACCGCCAAATTGTGTTTGAAATTTGAAGAAAAGTAGTGTTTTAAAAGCAAAGTACTACTACTTATTATTTTTATTCATGAGAGACATAGAGAGAGAGAGGCATAGACACAGGCAGAGGGAGAAGCCAGCTCCCCGTGGGGGAAGCCTGATGTGAGACTCATCCCGAGACCCCGGGATCACAACCTGAGCCAAAGGCAGACGCTCAACCACTGAGCCACCCAGGTGCCCCCAATACTACCGTTTGTAAGCAACTGCTAGCCAGATGTTGGAGGTTTTGAGGAGATCTCAAAGAAATTTTCATCCAAAATATTTACAGAGATACTTCCAAATAAAGATTTGTAAGAGGGCAACAGAACATTTAAAACCATGAAAAATGAGCAAAATGTTTTTGTAAATGTTTAGAAACTTAGTCACATTAATGCCTTTTTCACATAATCAGTGTTTAATCACCGTTTTCAAAAGTACCATAAAATATCATGAAAATACCAACAACCTGAAGAAAGCCCCCAAGTGATAGTAATAATAGTAATGATAATAAAAGTAAAATAAGTTGTCAGTGAACACCAAAGACCCAGAGATAAGTGCTAGTGTAACAAGACTCACTTCTGTGCCTGCATTCGGTTGTTAGCTTGCAGGATTTTTGGTCTTCTTTAAAGCTGCTTCTAATCCTTCCCTAAACAAGGAGAGGCAAAACAAATAAGCCTCAGTGAACCAGCAGTTCTCCCTTCTGGAAACCAAAGTAGCAGACACCAGGTTCAAGCAGTGATTTACCCTTGTAGAGTCCGTGGGGGGTACTCACGTGGCGAGATGGTGGATGGCCTGAGCGCCCGCAGACACGGCAGCCCTTGAGCTCATGTCAGCAGAGTGAAGATGGTTTCAGGCTCAGGAGCAACCTACTCAAAATTCTTTTTTTTTTTTTAATTTATGATAGTCACACAGAGAGACAGAGAGGCAGAGAGAGAAGCAGGCTCCATGCACCAGGAGCCTGACATGGGATTCGATCCCGGGTCTCCAGGATCGTGCCCTGGGCCAAAGGCAGGCGCCAAACCGCTGCGCCACCCAGGGATCCCCCCTACTCAAAATTCTAAAGGGAGTGAGCAGAGCCAGGTGGGCCAGCTTTGACTACAAGCCCAGGGCTCTCCTGTTACCTCCAAACATCTGTCTCCGGCTCACGTTCAGCTCCACTCTTACTTATTTTTTTAAGTGGACCTCCTGGGGATCCCTGGGTGGCACAGCGGTTTAGCGCCTGCCTTTGGCCCAGGGCGCGATCCTGGAGACCCTGGATCGAGTCTCACGTCGGGCTCCCGGTGCATGGAGCCTGCTTCTCCCTCTGCCTGTGTCTCTGCCTCTCTCTCTCTCTCTCTCTCTCTCTCTCTGTCTGTGTGTGACTATCATAAATAAATAAAGAAAAAAAAAACAAGTATAAGTGGACCTCCTTTGGGCCTCACCCAAAGGATATCCTTGGCATCCTCATTAGGAGAAGAGAAGATTGAGGGAGATGTTCTGGGAAGCTTTAAAGGGCTAGGAGCAATAGATGCAAATTATATGGCGACAGTTAGCTTTGTGTCCCTAGGAGTGTCCAGGCCAGGTCTGGGTGACCATCTGTTGGAATTGCCAGTAGAAGGTTCTCTACAAGGGTGGACTCCAGGATCTGAAAAGCTAAATTTCTAATACTGTTTGAGTTGTCTTTATTGGGGAGCAGCCTTTCAATCTTTGTGCAAAAACAAAGGCTTAGTCAACTTAAGCCATGCTCTGCAGCAAATCTGTTCCCACTGCCAGCATTTTTAAGCCCATTGGCAGAATTTTTAAGCCCAATGTTCATAGACAACAACATAGACATATTCAGAGAGAAGACACTGGAGAGGTTAAGAGAAGGGCCTGGCAGCTTAAATGCAGCTTAACGAGCCACAGCTGAAGAACAGCATAGGCCAGAACTATGTGAGGTGTGGATGGCTCTCCAATCAGCAAAACAAGACACTGGGAAGATGCTGGAGATGGTGACATGGGCTGCCGTGGGTGGCTAGGCAGAAAGGCCACACCCTGGCTCCTCCCTCTGTTTCATGGCCATGTAGCTGACTCTACTCTGCCAGCCTGAAGGTGGCATAGGAACAGGCTATTGTACAGCAAGGTTAAGCTCCTGCTGACCAGTTGCCCCCAACCCCAGTCAAGAACCATCCACCAGTCTCCTGGTTTCCCCACTGAGAATAGATGCCTCGTCTCTGAGTCTGTCCTTTTCTCCCTGGGGCTTCTTGCACCCCACTGCAGTCCTACACCTTTAATCCCCTCGTACTCTTTCCCATTTGCATCTAGACATGTTTGGATCCCTCCCTAAAAAAGCAAAAACAAACTCTCTGACATCATGTCCTGCTCCACTTCCCACCTACCTCCTTCCCTAATAGCCAAACTTTCGGAAAGGGTTAGCCCTATGTGCTATGCCCACGTCCTCATTTCTTTTTCACTCTCAACTCACAGAAACTCATTTGGTTTCCTTGGCATTCACATTCCTGAAATTGCTCTTACCAAGCTACCAATGTCTTGGTTTTTCTAAACCCAACGAGCACTTTTTTATTTTAATCTCTTGTGACCTCCCTGCAACATTCAACCCTGTTGATCACTCCCTTAACTTGAAAACCTTTCTTCACATCAGTGATGGAGCAGATGCTAGGTCACCATCTCTCTGGGCCCTTGTGCAAGGGCTTCTATGCTGGAAATGACATTGCATTTTATGGCTTGTAAAGTCAACTTCAAGCCTTAAATAATTCAATTCCATTGTTTTAGTGAAGAAGATCTTGACCTGACTTTTGATTCATTTAAAACTGAGGGGAGGGGTGCCTGGATGGCACAGTTGGTTAAGCATTCAACTCTTGGTTTCAGCTCAGGTCATGACCTCTGGGTCAGTAGCTCAAGCCCCACATTCAGCTCCATGCTCAGCATGGAATCTGCTTAGAGTTTCTGTCTGCCTCTCCCTCTGCCCCCCCCCCCCGCTAAAATGAATAAGTCTTTAAAAATAATACTAAAATAAAATAATACAATAAAATAAAACTGAGGGGAGCCTGGTTGGCTCAGTTAGAGAAGCATGAGACTCTTGATCTCGGGGTTGTGAGTTTGAGCCCTACATCGGGTGTGGAGATTCCTTAAAAAAATAAAATAAAATCTTTAAAACAAATAAATAAATAAATGAAACTGAGATTTTGTTTGGCTTTACACACAGGTAGAGCAGGCATGTACCATGTGACGGCATCTAGTTGATGCCATGTGATGGCATCAAGTTTCACTTGTCCCAAAATAATATCACCTCTATTGCCCCTGAACATGAAAATCTTATATATTTACTCCATTTTGCCTGGGTTTTTTCCTCCCAAAGACCATAAACTCCTATGAGATAACAACTATATCAATTCTGTTAAGGTTGGCATATAGCAGATGTTTATGCTTTGGGGAACATTTCTGATTTTGAATTTGTTTGCATTCCAACACAATAGCTGACAGAACAACAGAAAGGCAAGGGTTCATTAGCAGTACCTCTTCTTGGGCACATTTGCTTCATCTAAACTTTGTCCCCACAGGAGTGATCACCTATGCAATAGGTGTTGCATGGGCTGCACAGGACGAGCTGGAAGTCATCGCCACTCACCCTGCCAACGACCACTCTTTCTTTGTAGATGAGTTTGACCACCTGTACAAATTTGTCCCCAAGGTCATCCAGAGCATTTGCACAGAGTTCAACTCACAGCCTCGGAACTGAATTCAGAGCAGGTAAAGCACCAGTAAATGCTGCTTTCCCAACGGGCTCTGGTGCAACCCCCAATGCTTTATGGGGCAGCAGGTCATGTAGGGCTTAGAGAACGGATGTGCTATTATTATTCTCTGCCAGTGTGGTTTTGCATGCTTCAAGAATTGAGGTGAGGAAGATGATCATAAGTTTATAGAATGAGGCGAAATGATACATCATTTTGAGGGTGCTGGGGATTTACATTTTGACAATTGTTTTCAAAATAAATGTTCAGACTAGAGTACAGAACTTAGGACAGGCTTAACTAGAGTTTTGGTGAGGTTTTTTTCCATTTTTATTTCTAATTAGGATTCTGTAATCCTCAACAAATTTCACTTTTACTATGGCAGTATAGGACTTGCTTAATTAAGTATTTTAAAGGGTTACATGCAATCATTCTGACTGTGTCAGGGAGAGATGGAGAGTGTTCACAGGGTTTGTGGCAGGACCGCTCTCCACACTTCTCATTCCCAGAGCACCTGCTACACACTCACTCCCAGCCCACAGTAACAACACAACCATGGGCATGCAGAGAAAATGTGGCAGCAGCATAGCCACTCCTGATTTACCTCCTCTTCTCTATTATCTGATTCACTGTATACTGCATCCTATAGCTTTAGGAGCAGTTGAGGAACGGCCCTGGAGGATCAAGGTGATCTGGCCCAATAGCAGTGCATGAGGCTGCTGCTCTTAGCCCAAGCTGCAAACTTAGAATCTCTTGGGAGACTATGATGCTGGTTCCCAGGCCCCATTCCAATAGCTATGGAATCTGGATCTATGGGGCTGAAGCCTGAGCAGTGGCATGTTTGAAGAGCTGTCTGGTAACATTGCTGTGCTGCCATGGATGGAGAACCACTGAGCTACTTCTGAGCGGTCAGTGTGATAGCGATTTCCTGGGAGAGCCCCTGTTTATGCCTGTTGTCTTGGGTCCCACCCAGTGTTCGCATTTGCGCTGCATTTGTCATTTGTTAACCAGATTGTATCATTAATAGTTGCGTTACAATAAGCCAGGACGGGGTTTAGTTGAGCTCCACTTTTTATTTCCAGCTTCTGCCAAGGATTCATCTATTAGGATATGAAGTCTGTGTGTGATGGGGGGAGTGTTCAAAATAATCATTAATAAAGATGACTTACTTAACAAATCATGTCTTGTAAAAATGTGTGTTAAAAGATGCTGCTATGAATGGAGGAAAAGAAATAATACCTGTGCTGATTCTTGGGACAAAATATTTATATAAGCAATTTGAAGATCTCATCCATTTAGCAGAATTTGCTTCAAACCTACCAAATTTCTCAGTACCAGAGAGTGTATAATCAACTCAGTCAAAAATATTGATGTCTACAGAGAAGAATCAATTAAAGGTGTCAGCAATTTCAAATTCACTAACCATAAATTTTACCTAAAAGCAACTGCAAACAAATTTGTTCAAAAACCTCAAAATACAAAAACTATTTTCAAAAAAGAAATTCTTTATAAAGATACCAGTGACACAACTGCTAGTGAGAGATTCAGCTAAGAAACTGAACTTAAATAAATATAAGGGAGAATTATTCTGCCTATGTTTTTGAATATGCAGAATCAAAAGTTTCAATGTCTCTTCAATGTATATATATGTTTTTTAATTTTTTGAAAGAAAATTTATTTTGAAAAATAGTTTTGGGGTTTTTTTATTTTGCTTTTTTGTTTTTAGATTTTATTTATTCATGAGAAACACAGAGAGAGAGGCAGAGATATAGGCAAAAGGGGGAAGTAGGACTAAGGGGATGCTCAACTCCTGAGTCACCCAGATGCCCCATGGAACATAGTTTTTTAATATAATGATTTTATAGGGGCCTTAACACAAAAGCCAATTTGTCATCAACACATAAATATTTCCAAAAATAATATAATCTTATTATTTTGGTGTCCTCTTTCATTAACAAAATTGTCCCAAGTGGGAAAATAAATTATATGGCTACTCTTGTTATAGGTATCATAGTTGTTGTTTTTTTAAGATTTTATTTATTTATTCATGAGAGAGAGGCAGAGACACAGGCAAAGGGAGAAGCAGGCTCCATGCAGGGAGCCCAATGTTGGACTCCATCCCAGGTCTCCAGGATCAGGCCCTGGGCTGGAGGAGGCGCTAAAACGCTGAGCCACCCCGGCAGCCCTAGGTATCTTAGTTTTAAAGATAAGTGAAACCTCTCTAAATGGGTCCGTTGTCAGCAAATATTTGAGTGTGTGTGTGTGTGTGTGTGTGTGTGTGTGTGTGTGTGTAGGAAAGGAACATCAGAGGTGAGGTAGTCAAGGCACCTGGAGGCTGTGGTGTGGTGTCATCAGAGTTGTCTGAGCGGATGGATGTTCAAGTCACCAAAGATGGCAATGGGAGTTGGGATGGAGAGAGCAGAAGTGAGCCAAGCTTCACCACCTTCAGTGAATGAGAAGTGATCCAGCTGGGAGGAAAACAGCAGTGATAAGGTTGGATGGCTGAGGTCAGATCTTCAAGGGAGCTGGGGACTTTGTGGAAGGAAGGAGAGAGATTGGAAAGGGGGCAAGGAGCGGGCCTCTCCTCTCCCAATCCTAGGCCTGAATATCAATAGCCTCCCCTTGGAGGTTGCAGATGAGTGGGAGGCAGGAAAGGGCTGGAGCTTCTGGGAGCTCACTGGCAGCAGAGGGGAGTGCCCCACCATGCAGTGGGAAGGCTGGCATGGGAGTGGGGCTGGATCAGATCAGAGTTGCACAGAGCAGTTTGGAGATAGGGGTCCTGGTGGTGATGGGTGACCTGGGAAGCTTGGATATAAATCCACCTTACTCAAGCCAAACCATGCCTAATACTGCTGGGGTAGAGCCAGAATCTGAATACTAGAAACAGAACCTTAGAGATGTCAAACTGTCCAATGGCAAAAAAGGAAAACCAGGCCAGTGGAAGGTCATGCAGATACAAAGGGACAGAACTACAATTCAGATCTCTGTCTTCCAGTTGACTCATTTGACCGCCTTTCGGTGGGGTCAGAACTCCCACCCCCGCCTCCATCCCTGTGTTACACACACACACCTGGGTCTGCCCTCTGCAGGCTATGGGCCAGCCTTTGCAAAGCATTCTGGGTCCTGCAGACTCAGAGCCAATCTCCTAAGGCAATTCTAACTTTCATTCCATGGTCTCAGCAGAAAAGCTCCGCTGTGCCCTCTCTCCTCCAGGGCAACCCACATAAGCAGACAAGGAGCATTGGGCCAGCTTTTCTGGGTACACATGATGTCTAAACTCCACTTAAACTTAATTTTCCCACCTCTCAGGAGCCCTTTGAAAAAGTTTCTTTGCTAAAAGTTTCGTAATAAGGCTCTGCTAAAAATGTCCAGCCAAACAGATAAGGTTGAGGGTTCAGGTATTTCTTATTTCTTTGGGCTCTTTAAACCCTTTTGAACAGGACAAAACCTTCATGAAGCAAGTTTTCCAGCAACAATCTCAAGGGTCTGGCATGGGTTTATAACGAAGACAATGCTTCAGTGTGCAAGGATTTTCCAGCCTCACGGAGGAGTTTCCAACTAATAATGTTATTTTCTCCTCACAATCCTAAGAAAAGTTCTCCCCTTAGATTACCAACACATAAATGTAGTAAGTAGGAAATATGCTTGAAAGCATGAATTCAATTACTTTGGAAGGAGGCATTTATTCAACTAATGCCTTTGAGGAATTCAGTCCAGTGGGAAACACCACCAAACGAACAACTAAAATCATGTCATTATTATCATGGGATCATGCACTAAGTGTGCATGGCTGGTGATTGTTAACAATCTCATGAGTAATAAAAATCATCCTAGTGCCTGACAGTTAATTTGCTGCACACTGGACACTATTCTAAGGGCTTCTCATGTATTAACTCACTTATCTTATCCCTATGACTTGCTGAGAGAGTTACTATTATTCTCATTTTACAGATCATGAAACCGAGGCATAGAGGTGTCAAGTAACTTGCCCAAGGTCACAGAGCTGGTAGGGGCAGATCTGGGAATTAAACCCAGACAATCTGACTCCAGGGTCTATATACTTAACCACTTTGCTTCTTGTTAATGGTGGCTGCACAGAAGGTTCTCTAGTAAGCTTCACAATTTAAAGTATACATATAATTCTGCAAAGCATACTCTCAGGATTTATTAAACATACAAAGTGAAGAGTCTGTTTAATGTCCAAGGCACACGATGCTTCTCCCCATCACTCCCCTTGACTCTCTGGACAGCCACTTTGCCCTCACTTTTTTTTTTAAGACTTTGTTTTTTTGAAAAAGAGAGAGTGAGTGACTGAGAGAGCACGAGTGGGGGGAGAAGGAGAGAGAGAGAGGAATATGCAGACTCCCCGCTGAGCAGGGAGCCCAACATGGGTCTCAGTCCGAGGACCTTGGTTGGGATCATGACCTGAGCTGAAGGCAGATGACTGACTGAGCCACCCAGGCGCCCCACACCTTGTCCTCACTTAAGATAAGTGATTTTAATCTATTGTCCACAGTCCCTGCAGCTCCCTGAACACGTCAGGCTCCCCCATCCTATTGTTAAACTCCAATTATCCTTCAAGTCTTAGTCCAAATGCCACCTCTTCTTTGGAGTCCTCTCTGACTTGCTCAGATAGACTTATGCTCTCTGGATACAGAATCCTGACCCACCCATTTTCTAGCAACTTCCTTAGTCCCTTATTACCAGACCCAATTCATACGTGTCATCCAGGGACATGGAAGGCAGGGAATGAGAACTTTAAATCAAAGCCACCCAACAGTGCCAACCCCTAATTCAATGGCACTGGTAGAATGGGAGGCAGAGATAATTCAGGAAGAGAGAAACAGGGTATGGGGGCAAGAGGAAAAGAGAATCTCCTTCTATCCCCTCCACACCACTCTCTAGAATGCCCTTCCGAGGTTCACTGCAATATCTTACAATCACTCTTTTTCTAGGACCAGAATCCCCTTTGGGTATCTACCCACAGGGTAACTCTGTTCCTCACCTTCTGCTCTCACTTTCTGCAGAAAGGAAAACTCTTTTTTTTTTTCCATTTACCTTCTTGGGTTTCTTTCAACATACATGTTTTCTTTCAACAAATACCTATTATGTGTCAGGCATTGTAATAGGCACTGGGGTACACAGTTGAATAAAACCTGGTCCTGCCCAAGGAGCTTAGAGGCTAGTGTGGGAGATACACAGATCAACAGCGAACATCTGGCTAATACGATAGGAGACAGGCACACCTGGGGAGGCTTCCTGAGTTGGGTGTGTCTGCTTTAGCCAAGCAAGGAAAGATGGAGAAGGTGTCCCAGCAGAGGGAATGACAGGAGCAAAGGTGAGGAGGCAGGACACAGTGTGTCACACAGAGTGACAGCATGAGTGTGAGGTATCAGGAAATGAAGCTGGGGAGAAAGGCAGGGGCCAGGCCATGGGTTAAACATTGGTTAAAACTCTCTCCGTGGCAAGTAACAGAAACTCCATTCATAGTAGCTCATGCAAAGGGAGTTTTTGGAAGGAAATTGGAGTAACTCATGAACCCCAGGGTCAGGGAGAGAGCAGAACCTCAGAAAGGGGAGGAGAGACAGGAGCAGGACAGATGAGCCCAGCAGCCCTCTTCATTCTACTCTCCTCCAGAATGATCTTCATCTGGAAAGTGTTGAACAATCCTGCAGAGAGGGAACAGAGTGAAACTTCCTACCCATTAAGGACTGACCCCCTAGAGCAACCTCCTTTGGGAGTGGCAGGACCACCCAGGAAACCACGAGGACGTGGCTGTGGGGACAGGCGCTCACATTGTTCTATCTGACCACCTTGCAGTTCATAACCTTGGGAGGTTCCTTGAATCACCCAGTTGTCTTGAATGCTAGTACCTGCATGTGCACAGGCTCCAGCATTGGGAAAACCAACTACAGGCTGAATAAAAGTCTTCCAGCGACAGTCTCCCTCTGCTTTGTTCAGACACTTCACCCCCAGGAAATCAATGACAGTCTCTCTATGACTTTCACTTCTCTCCACTTTGATGGCTACACTTCTGTTATTTGTTTGTAGGCCAGTGGCCTTTGAAAACTGTTCAGATGGTCAGGGAAGCAGAAGCGTTGATTCTGGGATCCACTCCTGTTTTAGTCTGAAGGCCCGACTGAAGAGAAATGTACTATTTAAATGACAAAACACATGGAA